CCTGCCATTGCTCCCTAAAAAACATGCATACATTTAATTTTTGACATTTCATTATTTCAGACTAAAATGCCTGCCTTGTAGTTTTTTTAGCCAATTTTGCTTTACACATGTAGAAAAATAAATCAGATGGACAAGTAGTCATTGTCATCTCCTGACCTTATATCAATCACATGGGGTCGGAGCACAAGGATTTATAAACTTCAATGTCATGTCTTAATTATATTGTCGCCCCCTGCTTGTTGCCAACCTTTTTGGGAAACATGAATTAAAATAAAATATTATTTTTTTCAATAAGATGAAAAATAAATGGCTCGTAACAATTCCATGCCCATTAGCTACTTTCCTATAAAGGTTCCATTATAATCAGCCCACCCATTTGGAGATCACAGACGCCAGATAAAAGATGTACAGTCTGAAATATACTTTGCCTTTCTGTCCACTGCACACTCACTTAAGCTAGGCAATGAATCGGTAATTGTATTTGTAGATGTCTTTGAGCAGTGGTCTTTTTACCAATTTGGCAGTCATTTCCATATCTATATATTCCCATAGTATTTATAGGGCTCAATCGAACTAGCTTCTTGTTAAATTTTTTAAATTACATTCTAGTTCATTTATCTAATAATTTTGATAATAAAACATTGTGACGCATAAATTGAGAGGCGCGGCAACACTTACAGCAGCGACGAGGACGAGCAGCGCGGTGCGCAGAGCGCAGGCGCTGCATGCTCTCCGGGTAGCTGCCCCCGCTTGCACAATACACTTCTTCCACATCATTGAAGGCCACTCTCTGATTTCACAGGACACTTTCTCTTCCAAATAAACACCATTACTGTACTTCAAAATCATATTTATTTTATGTAACTTTACGGCAACTTAGCATCGTCACAAAGAGCGTTGGTAAGACATTATTGCAAGAACTGATAAACTGATGATATTGTATTGAATAAAATCACATTAAACTTAAAATTATAATAGCTATGTTGTCATATGCCAACTAGTTGTCATCAGTTGTCAGATTGTCACTATAAGTCTGTCTGACAATGATCTTTTGGTAGTTTTTTTGACTTTTTTTTTCTTTTGATTTTAGTGTTACCAGCAAGACTAACGTTATTTCTTCTGAATTCTTGTTGCATACAAAAACAATCCGACAAATGATTTTCAATTCACATTACACGAGTGCCCGTTATAGTTACTTAAATTGTTGCATCTACATAAAATGAGCTTCAAGACTATTTCAGAGATAAACAGTTAACTATATAGTTTTTAACAAAATTATTTTCAGCATCAACAACGAATGGTCGCATGTAAGTCACCATGGCCACAGAGGGAAAAATGTTACAGTTATTGAGGTCTTGCTCGGCTTCAATTTTTCGACAAAAGCTCTCCTATTCTAGTAATACATCCATGATTACATTACATTGTTTTTTTATGTTTTTTTTTTAAATTTATTTATGGACAACTTACAGCTAACTGAAAGCCAATTACAAGTGATCATTACATCATTACATTGTCAATTAGTCTACAAACGAAAGGAATGATATCTGGCAACTCTAAGTCACTGTTAGAAAGGGAAAAAGTGGACACTTGTAGTCCTCTCACTCGTTTCAATTTTATTTTACGTGCAACAAAACTCTTACGCCCTTAGCATAAGGTTATATTTTCTTTATTTATTTTAACTGCAAGATGTACTGATAGAGCACACTTCTGTCATATTATTACCTCCATGGTGATAATCTTTTGCTTATGTTTTTGACTTTTCTCATCTTGTCGGTTGTTTTGTTTGTTCTATAGCTAGTTTGAATGCTGAAATCAGATATATATTAAATTAAAATGGTGCAAAATGAATCAGAAAGTTGGACAAGTGATGGCACAATAAGGATTTTGATCGCCTCAGATATTCATTTGGGTTATTTGGAAAACGATGCGGAGCGCGGCGAGGATAGCTTCATCGCTTTCGAAGAAGTTTTATCCCTGGCTGTCCAATACGACGTCGATCTCGTGTTGCTCGGCGGTGATCTGTTTGACCAGGCGAAGCCCTCTCCCAGCTGTATGTTCAAGTGCACTCAGATCATCCGCAAGTACTGTTTCGGAGACAAACCGATTAGTGTAGAGTTGCTATCCGATCAGTTACAAAATTTTTCAAGAGTTGTAAACTACGAAGATCCAAATTTGAATATTTCATACCCCATATTATCAATTCATGGAAACCACGACGATCCTGTTGGACAAGGCAGCATTAGTTCTCTTGATATACTTTCTATAACGGGACTGGTAAACTATTTTGGCAAATGGAGCGATTACACGCAAGTTCGAGTATCTCCAGTGCTCATGCAGAAGGGAGAGACCAAATTGTCATTGTATGGCCTAAGTCACCTCAAAGACCAACGACTCTCTCGCTTATTTGGGGAAAAAAAAGTTGAAATGGACCTGTTACAAGACAATAATGATTGGTTTAACATTCTGGTGCTTCATCAAAATAGAGCTGATAGAGGTCATGGAAATTACATTCCAGAAAGTGTACTGCCTACATTTTTAGACCTTGTCATATGGGGTCACGAGCATGATAGCCAAGTGTTTGCTATGAAAAATATGAAGAGAGAGAATGAAGGTTTCTGTGTGATCCAGCCGGGCAGCACGGTGGTCACATCGCTGGCTGCGGGGGAGGCTCTGCCTAAGCATTGCGCTCTGCTGCAATTACACAAGAAAGACTATATTGTAACGCCTCTGCCATTAAAGACTGTAAGGCCTTTTATTTTTAAAACAATAGTTCTATCAGAAGAAAATTTAGGTAACAAAACGG